TTTAGAATTTAGGCGCTTCTTTGAAGCTGAAAGAGTAGGGCGCCAAGCGTGTGCGCATCAAAGCATGACCACAATCCAAGCACACGTTCCAAACTGACCGAGCGTCTTGGACTGACGTGCACCACCCATAACTGATAATGATATGGCCAATTTGATTTCATCTCATCAAACGTTTCGGTTGGCACCAGGTGCTACGATGAGAATGTTTATGCTGTAAAGCATTGTTGGTAATATAAAGACTGTGCCAATCGCATCGTTACAGTAATTGATCGTTATTGCCTGTCCGATGTGTGTCAGCTCGGAACTGGCCTCCCAGGTGTTCTTCAGTGTCCCAACGACGATGAACTTGGTCATTCAAGTTTTCTGCAACTATCGCAATATCAGTACTTTTCACTATTTTCCGAGGAGATGATGGTGGACGATAGAAATTTTCTTTCACACCCCCCGAACTGCATTAAATAGGGACATGAACGGAAACGTTGCAGTGGTACCTTATCTTCAGAAGGCGCTTACTAATCCCAATATTAGTTCGAACCAATATTGGTCGAACCGCGCACATAAGGCCATTTATTAGTATTAGGTCAAGTTGTTTGCCTTCAGCATTTTTTCTGAAGGTGCTACCGACGTCACAAATACCTTGAGCCACTGTCGACGACTCCGAGGGGTACAAGAGGCACCGATGCTTATGCAAAAGCATGGAGCACAGTAGTACCGTCAGTTCGACGAAGTGCTTGTGACAGCAACCGAGGATCTTTACCTACATAAGGCGTCATCTGCAGGTGATGTAGCAGTGTTACTGGGCTTTAACAGACTGAGTGTTCCTCTGCGTTGGCGGCGCACTTCGCTCTCGTACTTGAAACTGACTGTATTGACTTCGACACGTTCAACTTTTACCGAACTCAGCGTGGATTGCAGTGTAGAAAGCTGTATGTATTCTACCCTCCAGTCTTGACGTCACGAACCCTTCCGCTTCTGCTGAATTTCCTACTGACCATCTTGCCTTCCGTGACTGACCTGGTTAGCAGATCGCTTTCCGATGGTTCATCGCCCAGAAATTGGAAATGCTCGGTGCTGAAGACGATTCCGAAAGACGAAAATCCACGCAATGTTGACTATTACCGGGCTATTTGTCTGATCTCCGTTGTGACCAAGACACTCAAGAAGATCGTGAAGAAAGGTTTACTGCAGCTGCTAGGATCGAAAGAACTTGTGACGCGGACACAAAACAGTTTCGTGAAAGGCCGCTAGTGCATCACCAATCGGCTAGTGACGTGACATGAATTGTCGCAAGCTTTGTACCAAGGTACGTCCTTGCTTCCAGCAGAGCTTCCGGCAGGGTGGACTATGAGGTCCTCCTACTCAGGCTAAGGATGAGCGGTGTTGATGGCTCACTGCATCCATGGATCAGTAAGTTCCTTTGTTAGCGAGAATAGGGGGCACAAGTGGATGAGCATCTAAATTGCTACCATCCCTCCACCAATGGCGTACCCCAAGGCACAACACTAAGGCCGATTATGTTCTTGATTCATATCAACGATCATCGCTGCCTTCGCAGCTTAACTAGTGTATGGTGGGAGCATCGCGTGAGCATTGAATGTGTTCGGAGTCGCGTGTTTGGTGCAGGAAGAGCGAGTGAACCGCTCAGCACCGTTATATCACGCACCGGGCTCCGATAGCTGGGCCACGTGTTGTGTATGTCAGCACACCGACTCCCGCGACGTGGGTTGTTTGCGCGCCATGAGTCTGGATGAAAGAAGCGGAGGGTGACCAAACGATGACTTAGTTAAGAGGAGTGAAAACCATCACTTCGAAGTTGGCGTCGCTTGGTGCATCCCGATTGCCTGGCTGGGGTCCGAAGGACGATGAACAAGTTTGGTTGGATACGCTTGCTGATATAGCGAACAGCCGGCCCCACTGACGTTTGTGTTGTGAGTTTGTTTATCCATCCCCCTCCACCTTAGATTCCCCTCCGATTGCGAACTCATGCGACGTGCATAATGTAATATTTAACAATTCATTACTTATTTTTTGGATTCTTTGTAGTGTAATTTTTAGTGTTTTATATTTTTGTATCGCAGTATATTAGCTTAGGTGTGTTTCTCTCTATCAGCTAACATGCATTGATAATCCACGTCAACGAATTACCTAAGCCTCTTCGCTCGCCTTGTCCTTTGTTTGCGGCTGGCCTTAAAAGTTATAATAATACTAATAATAACACAATTTTCCATCGTCCAAGAAACTGTCTTTAGCGGAACAGATCACTATGTACAAGAGTAACCATGCTACCAAAGACTGCGACGTAATTCTACAAGATCTCGACCGTCTGTCCGTACCATTGAAAGTCGATCTACCGCTCCTTATTTATGTGCTTGGGGAAGGGGGTGGGTGTGTCCACTCTAGTCGACCAACCGCTGCATTTCACCTCTTCCATGAAGGACCTAGGCGCACTCTTACATTGTGGTTTGTATTGGTGGACAACACAAACAGAATATACAGTAACGGAAGACGCATGGTTTGGGTGCTCAAACACAACTTCTCCACTTAGTCTGAAGAGATTTCCAGTGAAGTCTTTTCTCCTGTAATAAGACCAGTACTCGAGTACGACTCACCCGCCTATTGTCTGATCAATTGTGACGAGGTGAAGAGACTCGAATGTGTTCAGCGTTTGGCTAATAGACTTATCTGCAATTTAGAGGTATGTCATACAAAGACCGATACAGGAGGCAAGGGCTGTAACCCCTGTCTTGTCGTAGGTTTCGAGTGGGTCTCATAGGGACGCAACGGATATAGCCTCCGGGTGACTTTCCTATGCTAAAACCGCGACGTGTGGGCACCAAGCAGCACTCGCGGACACAGATCCAAGCTGGTTTTATCGGATCTGATGCGTATGACTTGCCCTCTATGGCTCGAATGTCGAGTGGTGTAGAGAGCAAGGCATTAGCAGTACGCCAGCACACCGTGCCGACGCTTCGCTGTCATGTGCCCATTACCATTAGAGCGTGTATTTGGTGTACCGCGAACACCTACATCTGTTCGAATCGGGGACCTCCGAACTACAACGCAAGTGCACAGTACTTTCGGCCACCAGCCGACTTCGGATGGTGTATTATTGGAACAGTTTGTCAGACAATATTCATGGCAAAATCGGTGTTGGAATTCAAGAAATTCCGCACCGCTCATTCTGTGGATTGCAAATTTGGAGGGCGCATCGCACCTAAAACGTCGCAAAACTGAACTATATTGGCCGTGCATGTTAATAAATGTCGCTACCTCTTGTGGGTGTCCGATCCTATGTCGATGGATCAAAACATGTGTATATTCTAACCGTCTACTTTCATTTTTCATCCTTCACCATATCGTTGGTGTGAATCCACTCACATAAGATTTCTCGTTTTTTCGCACACTATTCTTGTCCCCTCTGGTAGCATGAAGTGTTCAGTTATTTTCGTAACATCTTATATCGGATTTTTTCCAAAGATAACTCCTTGTATATCGCCCTCTAGTTTCCTTAATTTTGCAGTGCCAATACTCAAGAGAGTAGTTTTGTTCAATTTCGTCGTGGACTCCATCATGGAATGTTCCATTGCATAATCTCACCATGCAGGCGTTTATATGCTGCTTGGTGAAAAGTCGGTTGATCTTGATTATGCGAACGATATTGTCTTACTCTTTAACGATATTGGGGCGGCCCGATTATCCCTGAATAAACTCTCTAGAGTGATTCCATCACTAGCCACGCGTTTCGCACCCTCAAATTGCAGTGTTGTTGCACGACCATCCGCCGCTTGTCGTTCGCTTGATAACGAGGAACTCTAGGTTGTTCATCGATTCACTTACCCTGGCAGCTGCGTTACCAACGATGGACGCATAACCATTGAAGTTTGTTCATGTATTGCAAAAACTATAAATACCTTGAAACTGCGACATATATGACGTCAGAAGGGGCCTCGTTTAGAAGGTAACAGTGAAAGCCGTCCTACTGTAGGGGTATGAAACTTGGTCTTTTTTGTATGAAGATCTGAAGCATCTTCAATTTTTTGATCATCAATGCATGCGGAGCATTGCCGGCAATGCATGGCATCAGTGTGTCCGCAAGGATGATGTGCATAAGCAAGTACTTGGCAGTGATGATCACGCGACTTCGTTTGAATAACAGATATCGCTGAACAAGTTGCGTTGGTTAGGGCACGTACTACGTATGCCCGTTCTCCGCTTACCGTGGGGGACACTGTTTCGTTTGCCAGATACGAGGTGGCGTACGACTCAAGGCGGGCAAAAATTAACTTGACATTGGGAAATGAACTCACTGATTACAAAACTCGGTACTGTTGGCCCGTCTCGCTTTACAGGGTGGAGTCCCCATGACCAACTATGTGCTTGACTCAAGAAATCACAGAACATGACTCGCTGTCAGCACTATTGGCAAGTCTGCTGTCATCTCCTGGTCGGACTGCCTGTTTAAGGTGGTTTGGTGGTGTGTTATCTGTGTGGTAATGGCTAATTATGCTTCGGGGCGGTGAAGCCACAACGAAACCGTTCCACCGATACCGCCTTATCTTTGCACGCTACCTAGCTGTTTGTGACGGAATATTGTTGACAAGGTCTAGATGCCTTGACTCTGAATGCTTGTTCAGGGCATTAAGCTATTACGCAATGTCCCCCTCCTCTCCCTGCTATTATTCTTTTTCCCGTAGATCATATTAGTTGTACGGAAGTGAAGCATCACTCCATATGGCTGATGTAATCACGCTGTTGATGATGTGATGAAGCGAGTCGTCGATGCTATTATCACATTTACATTTGTGTATTTGTATGAGAATCTCATTGATATCGTAACAGTTATCTCTGACGGATGCCGCGTTCAGATTTGCCATCTAACGCAAATAACCCAGGGCGCTGCTTTTGTCATTTTCTCCTGTTATTCTTCTTTTGCTATTTCTTTTTGATTGACTCAAACCGTACACTAGTCATGGACTCACAGAGATTTCCAGCTTTTTTGTATGACATTTAACTTGTTTTGCAGACATTTTGCTCAGATGGATTTGGCAGAAGCAGACCCGGAAATAATGGCCCTGTGCCGCGCTGAAAGACAGCGACAATTTTGCGGTTTGGAAATGATTGCCTCAGAAAACTTTGTCAGTCGAGCTGTCTTGCAGGCCTTATCTTCATCCTTCCATAATAAGTACTCTGAGGGACAAGTTGGTTCCAGGTTAGTAACAACCAGCTCTTCTCCTTGAACTTGTAAGCGTTGCTTTTGCAGCGTGTTCCTGTCGACCCTGATTGTCTTGATATATGTGTGCTGCTTTCTGCTTTAGATTCCATCGTTTACTTTCGCTCTCATTTATCAATTATTTAGGTTGCCTCTGAAGCTATTAACGATGTCCAATTGGTTTTGCTTTCCGAGCTCTGCAGGACCACATCATTTCTGCCAAGGACATTCCACCATCTCATCCACGCTGTTTCCGCCACTTTCTCTCAGTAATTTTCCACGCCTATTCCCCATACGCCTTCATCTCATGCATGAAGATCAAGAAGGTCACCACTTCGACCTAGGGAACATAAATATCCTAGGCCGTTCAAATTCTACGCAAGCCAGAGCGTTTCTGGAAGTATGGTATTCTACAGACAATTCAATAAACCGACTCGCGCGTATGCTGAGGCCAGAATCAGAGATCGATTTCGATGGTCTTGTGCCCGTTGAACGATCCAAACTCAGACTGACGGCTAGAATATCGATCCCTCATACTCACTGACGCTTCGTACCGCGCCGCTCTGCTACACAAATGCGCACTAACTGTGTCACTTTGGGTGGTGACGAAACGTTTGCAGTCAAACTGCCTAGTTCAGCGAACACTCAGACCATCAACTGAACAACCTGAGCTGCATACCCTTGCTTCTATATCACAGTCTTCATCTCGTACATATTTACACTTTACACCACCCCAACGGTTGCTCGTATCTCAGTTTAGACTTGCACATAAGTGCGAACCCTACTATGATCTTACTAATCCAGTCATTACCATTAATTCACTTTATAGTAGTAACACGGGAACTAAGCGGTACCGATGACACGTAAGAGTCACGCCAACCACGAAACCACGTAGAATCGCAGATGCAACTAGATCACAGTATGCGTAACCGAAACAGCAAAAGCAGCGTAACGCATGGCTCACTGGGAAGGAGCAAGCACGAAATTCTTACGTGTTGTTGTGCAGATGAGCGTTTGAAACGAGATCTGTGGTTGCAAAAATAACGATGACATGCTATTGTCCTGCTTATCACAGATGGTTTGTTAAGTGGTGGACGGACGGAGTCTGTTGAATTTTTGGCGGGCATGGCGGCATTTCGGTGCGGTTAACTCGAATCAACTCCGAAGGCACGAAAAAACACTGCTCAGATTTCTTTGCTCCCTATTTGTAGTCATTTATTCTTTAGTTAGGTGGTGCCTCGGAGCGAATCATCGAGGGTCATCTTAATGAGCTCGTCTGCCTCCAAATAATTGACTACACTTGGCAACCGCCTACAATACAGTTCCCCCACTTTTCTCTGCGAAGAATTTCGGACGCTTCAGTTCAGCTGCTTATTCAAATCTTTGACATTTGCTTGGTTTATACCATCATTGATTGTGAGCAAATGGTCGCAGCATTTAGCCATGGTGATGATGATTGTAGATTTGAACGAATGACCCAGTAAGCACTGTGGTAGCCTGAGCTCTGTGATTCAGTACTCAAAGAAAGTTGTGAAGTGCTCGGGGAAGGCAGCGTGAGATCAGAATATTGCGCTTTTGCGTTTCACCAGAATTTCTAGCTACTTCTGGTTATATGGGGTCTAATTAGTTGGCAGTTTATAAGCAACTGATACTTCGAAAGTCAAAGGTGGAAATGCCAGTTACAGTTCGCTGATGGCAGTTTAAGGCCAAGGGTAGAGAAAGCGATCTTGAGTCGGTCGATGGGCACCATTATACAGGGACTGTTTTGCTCCATGATGAAGCGCCTTGGAATTCGTTACAAAACTCTTAAAAGGGCTTATGTAAGGAGACGGAAGGATACGACGCACGGCGTCGTTGCGGACCAAAATGTGATTAGAGGCAGAGAGTTCGTTGTGCATTTTCTCATCTCTGGTCTGCTTACGATGCGGACAGGAGCGCGGTGCGCCCATGCGTTTGGCACTGGAAGAGGCAAGGTTATACGGCGGAATTTGCGTAGACGAGAAGGGTGAAATGAATTCCTTCGGTAGGTCATCTATACTGGAGCACACCACAGGTCAGCTCGTACTGCCTTGATATCAAGTGAAGATGTGCGAACTATTTTTGCTCCTATCAGGATTGAGAGATGCGCAGAAAGTTGTCTGAATTTGTTTATGAACTTGTTCATCCTACTGACTGAAAGCCGCCATGTCATCGTGTGAATACGGTAGTCAGTGGTGATAGTAGCTCGTTATCCGCAAATGCATCATGCAGCTAACCAGTCATAACGCACACCTTTTAGCCATGTGAAAAGTGGAGCCTGATACATACGAATGCAATTAGTGCTAGAGGATTAGAACCATCTTTGCCGACAATTTTGGCTGTACGGTGTACGGGGGTAATCTCTGACCAACGTGTCTAAATGTATATCAGGCAGCGAGGGGGGCAATCTACCCACAAGGTTGAGACGTACATACCAGAGAGAATCGTCTTGGTCGGGGGAATAAGCAGGAAGGATTGAATTCTAGAATGGGTATTATACACACAGCCATAACGCACACGCTTCGACCATGTGCAAAGTGAAGCCCAATACATATGAATGGAAATAGCGCTAGGGGTATTAACCATCTGTCCACATTACATTCGAAATTTTAGAAAATACCTCGCTACTGTAAGACCTGGATAAGCTATGAGATGATGGTTGAGTGTTTTTACCGAAAGCATAGGGCGTCTACATTGTACTGCAGGTTTTACCGGTTCGAATTCGCGCTCGTTTTGTTGGCCTCGCGATATGCCTAGCCCATGCGCAACTGGTGATGGTTACATGGTAGCAAAGCGTTGGTACTGTGTAGGGCGTACTGATGATGCCTTCTATACGATCAGAAATAACGGGAGTAGAAAGGGGTATCGAAATACTTTGAGTAAACATGCACATTGCCAATGCGCTTACGCCTTGGCAATCACATACCGATACAAACGGCTGTTTGTCAGGCGAAGGTAAGGGGACTGGCGAGACGGTTTCGTTGCGGCTTTCATTGTGCAGTGTCATTGTCAGGTACAAGAACGAATTTCTGCCTTCCGCAATGCTGGAATCCTTTTCGGAAGCCATCTATACTTGCACATTATTCAAGATAGGGCACTTGGTCGACTGTTTCCGGCTCCGCTTTGGTAGAACTGAAAGCCCCATCACGTGGCCGATAGTCATGTAAGAGTATTTTACACTGGAGATGCGAAACACACACCAAATGAATTGGACCACTCCACAAAGTTGATCCAGGATTGCCTGAGTCTCCCCGAGATCGTCAAAAACCCAGACAAAGTTATCCGCATTAACAAGTACATCTAGTTTTCCACTAAACAACATTTCAATACCCATAACGTGAGATTCCAGAAGAGAACACTGCACTTCTCAAGTAGGCCGGACCGGGTGATGACGGCTGTTTTATTTATATTTTTATCCTTAACAGATTTCTAATGATGCGCACGGCCAAGCTTGATCACGCTGAGGATGGTCTTACGTGTGCGGGGTGCAGTAATTTCCTTTATATGATGTTTGGGTTACTATTATGGACAATCCACTTGTTGGCATTTGGCACTCACTGCAAGGCTGCCCGTCACCAGATTTATTGGCTTTCATTTGTAGTAGAGAAGATCAGAGGCTATCAGATTGGATGATTATGCACGGTTTTACTACTTGCTAACACTTTGTCTCCGGCCACCTTATGTTTTCTCATTGCAAATCGGTGTGGCTGACCTTTGGGCTTTTCGTTTGCGCGAACGCGACGCTTGACTTGAGACGCCATTGTGAAAGCGGCACTCAGTAGTTGAACGAGCTTAATGTATCCGTAGATGGGTTTATCATAGTCACATGTCTGAAGAATGGCGTAGACGGGACTGCTAAGTGAGATCCCGAGGCTGTGGTCACAAACGCTGAGGTTCGTCACAGCGTCCATTACCCTTTGAAGTTTCTCATGGACCAAGAAGTGAAGGTATTTGGGGAAGTGTCGATTATTTTTGTAGGCAGAATTGTTGTAGCGTTAAACGCTCAACCGAATGTTCTGCAGAGACCTCAATTTGTAGTCATGAAAGCGCTTGTCATAGGTGGGCATGATGGTATCTTTGTTGGCATGAAGACAGAGGGGATTACTTGGTCACCTCCCTAGATTTTGTTGGAACTACGCTTACTTCACCTACGGCATCAGTCATAGACACATTTTGAGTGCATTGTCAACCACTTACTGGAGATGGGTATTTTCGATTGGTTTATTAATTATAGTCGCCCTTACTTCTCCAAACAATCGTTTCCATGTCTAATTGGATGGAAGGGTCCAGAGAGGCGGTTATGCAACCCTGGCTTGTTTACCATTTCTGTGGGTGCTCAATACTAGTTTAATTGTCACACCTAAAACACGACACTTGAGCGATGTACATTACTTTTAACCTCCTTTGCTTGATGTCGCGTCGTTAGGTTACCAAATCTGGTACTTTTTCGAAGTTAGGGTGTTCGAGAGAGTTTTCTCTAAGCAACACGGCAGGTGCATCGCGGTAGATTCGTACGAGTTTAACGACGAGGTCGAGCTGTTTACGTAGGTTAGACTTCAGCTGCCTGATGACGGAGGTCTTAGTGGGCCGTAGCAGACCTTGATTGTTTTGCCTACCAGTTTATCTGTGCCTACGACAGCACCTACATTGGCGGAACAAAGAAATGGCTATCGACTATTTTTGTGGTGTACATTTTGCGGACCATGATCGGTCTTAAATTGACCTCCAAATCAATAGCTCGACGCCTGACCTTTACCAAAGCATTCAAGGTTCGCTGTGTCTTTCGCGTACGTAAATAGTTTAATCTCGTGGTCAGCTTCGCGTTTCTCTGGTAATGCGTATGTCATATTATTGGAGGCGTGCGCCTCGATTGCAACCTATCGCCCTTATCGCCTCCCTGTGGCTGTCATGCATTTGAATCTACCACTGTACGTATATATGCATTTCTTTCCTATGCTAATTAACGAATAGTTATGTCGGCA